TTACACTTCAAAAACATTTATTACTCATTTTAATTATATATACATATATGTATATATGTATATATATATATATATATATATATACATATGTACATTTTAAATGTTTTTATTGTAAATTAAAATAAAAATTTAAGTACAAATCATGTTTTATAGCTGTAAATAATGGATTTTATAAAAGCTGGACTTTTTGTTCGAAAGCATGTGTTTACATTCAAACACTTCGTAATGAACAAAGTTTAAATGTCTTTTATTCATCCTCTTTGATGCACACTAGACTCTTCACAAACCAATTTTGACAGTCTTGGTGTTTAAACTCATGACCAGGAGAAATCGCTAGCTCCACTCTTTACTGCCGCAACTGTCTGGCCTACAAGTTAACCTGAGGACACTGAGCAATCACCCCTGCCCTGGGAGCCCATAGAACAGATGAACTGGGCACCAGAAGCATTGTTTTCTCCAGCATGCTCTTAAAAATCCCAGCACTTAGTCGGTGTTGGGGCACACTTTAATCCCAGCACTCAGGAGGTAGAGGCAGGCGGATCTCTGTGAGTTCAAGGCCAGCCTGGTCTACATAGCGAGTTCCAGGTCAGCTGGAGCCACAGGGAGACCCTGTCTCAAAAAGACCAAAAAAATAAATAAATAAATAAATAAATAAATAAATAAATAAATAAAAATCCCAGCACTTGGGAGGCAGATGCAGGTGGATCTCTATGAATTCAAAACCAGCCCGGTCTACATTTCAAGATTCAGGCCAGCCAAAGCTATATAGTGAGGCCCTGTCTCAAAAAAGTCACTTAAAAAAAAGGAACTAATGAGTAGGCAAGGATGAGGGTTAGTTGGTACAGTGCTTGTGGCTTAGTTTGTAGAGGGCTTGCCACAAAGCCCTGGGTTCATTCCCCAGTACTATATATACTGGGCATGGTGACTCTCACCAGTAATCCCAATACTTTAGATATTGAAGCAGAAGGATCAAGAGTTCAAGGCCAACCTGGACTACATGAAAACCTGTCTCAGAAAAACTAAAAAGCAAAACAAAATAAAAACCATAGTGATTTTGAGGCCAGCCTTGAATGTATGAGACCTTGTATCCAAAAAAAAAAAAAAAGTAAGGCTGGAGAGCCCAGTGGTTAGGGGCACTTGCAAAGGACTCAGGTTTGGTTCCCAGCACCCACACGGCTGCTCACAACCAATTGTAACTCCAGTTCCAGGGGCTCTGACACCCTCTTCTGGCCCCCTTCATGGACAATGCATACATGTGGTATACAAGCATAATACTCCTATGCATGCAGGCAATAGGCTCATAAAATACAACTAAATCCTTTTTTCTTTTTTTACTTGTAAATGAGGCCTGTCAGTGTGGCTCAGTAGTATGGTGTTTGCCTAGCATGCACAAGGTCCTGGGTTCTATCCCCAGCACCACAAAGGAAAATTTGTTTGTGTGTGTGTGTGTGTGTGTGTGTGTGTGTGTGTGTGTGTGTAGTTCTGGAGACTGATCTTAGGATTTTGTGCATGCTAGGCAAGCGCTCTACCACTCAGTTACATCCTTAGCCCAAATTCCTATTTTTAAAAAAATATTATGTAGTAGCAATAAATATCTGGTTTATGTCTTTGAGTTTGATGTTACACTAAATATATTCTCTTTGTTTTGTAGGATGGATCTTTGACATCACACAAAAATACGATTTTTCCTTTTATGTATGTGGTCTGCTTTACATGGTAGGAATACTCTTTTTACTCATTCAACCTTGTATTCAGATGATAGAACAATCCAGAAGAAAATGCATAGACGGTGCACATGTTTAGCATTGTGTAGCATTTCCAGTGAGCTTTGTGAGACTTTCTTCTTGTGTGAACCTCACCAGGTTGCTAGAGGAGTGCTTAGAGGAAAACCGGCAGCATCTCCTGTAAATGCCGTGTCATCACTTCGTTTGTCATTTTGGGGTTTTCTTTTACTTTGTTTGTATTTTGTTTTTTCAAACAGGGTCTCCCTGTAGCCCCAAATGGCCTGGAACTCACTATGTAGACCAGGCAAGCCTTGATCTCATAGAGATCTTCCTGCCTCTGCCTCCTGAGTGCTGGGACTAAAGGCATGTGCCACCATGCCTGACTCATCACTTCATTGTAAACAACACAGCCTCCTGTCTAAGCTAGAGGTAATGGGAAGGGATTAGGGACTATACAAATTTCAGAGATGATGCTGTTTATCATTGATTAAATAGCTGATACAGATGCCCTTATAAAAACCACTTTCATGGACTGGGGAGATGTCTCAGTGGTTAAGAGGACTGACTGCTCTTTCATAGGACCCAGGTTCAGTTCTCAGCACCCACATGCCAGCTAACAGCTTTCCATAACTCCAGTTCCAGGGGATCTGATGCCATCTTCTGACCTCCAAGGACACTGCATGTACATGGTGCACTTACATACATGCAAGCAAAACACTCACATGCCTAAGCTAAAATAAATATTTCACAATGTTTTAAAAGAGCTGGAGAGGTAGCTCAGGGGTTAAGAGCTCTTACTGTTCTTCCAGAGGACCTGGGTTCGATTCCCAGCACCCACATGGTGGTTCTGTCTCCCTCTTTCCGTCTTCTGGGGTACTACATACATACCAGCATACATATAAGCAATCGAGACACTTGAACAAATAAAAGTAAACAAATCATTTTTTAATCTTAAAAAACTAAAATAAAAGGGGGAAAAAACCCACTTTGGAGCCAAGTAAGCCCAGTATTCATATGGTAGAAGCAGGAATATCAGACGTTCACAGTCAAAAAAGCAGAAAAAAGCCTCAGTCTCCCTCTTCCTCCCTTCCCCTCCTCTGTCCCCCTCCCCCTCCCCCCTCCCTTTCCCATTCCCCTCCCACTTCATCTCCTCTCTCTGGTCCCTAGTCCCAGTGGATGACCAGATGGAATGAAAGTTTTGCCACTCAACTACTTCTTTGTAAAATGAGTTCAAATCATCTGTGTATTTCCACAAAAGCATCTAGATACACAGGTTCCAAGCACAAACGTATGACTGGACTTCATAAATGAATTCTTACAGGAAGTTATTGATCCTCCAGTGTCATAAAAAGGCAGGCTGTCATTTCAAAAGTAACACCATTTAGTACATTCTCAAAAAACAGTTTACAATTTTATGAAAAGATTCTGCAACTAAGAAGTACAAACCTCCTTCATTTCTAGTTCAGCTTTCCAGTCATAAAAGATAAATTCAGCAATAAACGGAATCTGGAGACAGATCTTTAACAAGTGCAGTGCGTGAACGATGGATGTCCTTAGCAGAGGCTGTGCTGTACAGGTAACACTGGATCAAGAGCTGCCCTGCAGACATGCTCATTCATACCACTGGGCTCTTTCTTAGACTGAACCATTTCCCTGACGTTTTCTTGCCCTGAAAGTATAACAGAAAACTAATTGCTGAGGTAACATGTAGAGTCCAAAGTTGTCACTTGTAAAGCATATGGCTAATCCCAGGCTAGAGTCAAACTTCCAGGACTGGCGAGATGGCTCAGCAGATAACAGCATTTGCTGGAAAAGCCTGATGACCTGAGTTCAATCCCCAGAACTCATGCAAAGGTGGAAAGAAAGAACTAACGGCACAAAATTGCTCTCAGATCTCTGTATATGAGCCGTCCCATGGGTGTTACTCCCACAAGCACACACCATGCACGCACACGATAACAGTAAATAAAATTTTAAAGTATAGTCGAGCTGTGAGGGCTGTGAGTGGACCGCCCTTGTATCTGGCAGTGCACCTGACACTGGGGGCAGGGGTGGGTCTACAAACAGCCCAGCTCTGCTGCCTCCTGTCCACATCATTCACGTCCCTAAACTTGGAGCAGTTTCAAAATAGCTCTTTTCATAGATTTCCTACACAAAGATGTCTGTGATCTGGGACATCCAATAGTTCCCTTCCTTAGCTGAGATGTCTATTTTTCTAAGCTGACTGCAGAATCATTTTGAAATTTCTGGCTGCCTTACTTGTATACACATATCTTACAGCTACTTAAATTTCTACTTGTAGGTTTGGGGATGCAGCTCAGTGGTTAGAGCACCTGCCCGGCATGTGCAAGGTCCTAGGATGCATCCCCAGCACCACAAAAAAAAAAAACAAATTTCTACTTCACAATTTGCTTATCATACAAATATTCTTTAATGTCATGGCCAGTGCCTTGGGTCAAATTTAACTGAAGTGAATATAGTTCATTCTCAGTTACCCTTGGTGTTAGAGACAGGAATGCTGGGAACGAGAATTGCAGAGTGCAACCCAAAGTCCAGTTTCAGTCAGCAGGTTTGGTTAGACTGCAACCAGCACTTTCGGGCTGTTAAGAGGTGATCAAGTGGAGTGTTTCCTTCTGCTTTGTCCACATGATTTCTTGCTCTATAATGTCTAATGGAGGGGTTGTACAGTCAAACAGCCAAAGCATCAATAATGAAAGGCAGCTGACAGGAAAGAGCCGAATAGGTGTGGCTAACATACTCACCTGCTATTACCAGTGACTTCAGAATTGCCAGGAAGTTATTACAGACCATCCATTGCACATCTACTCCATTGGGTTCAACACAACGACCTATTTGCTACACCTGTCGTTAACACCTTCAGCACAACTAAAGAAGGTAGCTCTCTGCTTTAATAAGTGTAACCTTAAAAGCTGAGACAGTGATAGTTATTTTATGGTGAATATATCTATATGCATATGTGTATATGTATTTACCATACAATTAGGGTTGGATTGAAAATGTGATTGCTTTTAAGACTACATTACTTTGTTATGTTTGTTGTCTGCAACATCAGTGAACAGGATGCAATTGTAAGTACTGAGTGGTGCTAAAACCAGTAACAGTAGATGCTCATGCTGCTGGCTGGCATCAGAAATAGGAACTTTCCATCCAGTGACCCAGCTTGAACTGCACCCACGTTGTAGACGGTTCTGGTTGTGGGATTGCTGTCTGTGGACGTACTGTGCTGTGAGTGTGGTAGCTTCCAGGGCTTCAGAGGTCCCCGTGGTCCTGAAATGACAGAGTCTGTAAAAGATGACCATGGCCACCAATGTTCCTGTTTCTGTTCCTACCTGCATCATTTCTCTAGTGCTCGCTCTCTTCTCAAGGGTGCATTGTGTACTTACGGCACGTGCTTTGTAGTCTTTCCTTCTCATATTCAAGTGGTTTTTATTGACCTGTAACTAAATAAATTTTGTTCTCTTTAAAGCTGGTCAGAGTCTTTGTATACAACCTCTCTCCTCCACCCTGCCCCCCACCCTCCCATTTGTTTGTTTTTATCCTTAAAGGGAATGCTCCTAAAACATAGCTGATGATTGATTAGCCATTTCATTCTTATACCTGGAACACTATTTTTTAAAATTGATTGTGTGTGTGTGTGTGTGTGTGTGTGCACATGCCATTGTACACATATGGAGGTCAGAAGACAACTTGCAAGTGTTGATTCTCTCCTTCTACCATGTGAGTTTGGGGGATCAAATTCAGGTTGGCAGACTTGGCAACAAGCACCTTTACCCACTGAGCCATCTCAAGGGCCCTAGGACGGTATTTCTTCAGTTGTGGTCACACTACCGGGAGAGACTCACCTAAGATGACTGTTAAATCTAGGACCAGATGTGGTAGTGCATGGCTTTAATCCCAGCACTTGGGAGGCAGAGGCAGGCAGATCTCTGTGAGTTCCAAGTTAGCCTGGTCTACATAGCAAGTTCTAGGCCAGTCAGGGCTACACAGTGAGACCCTTTCTCAATAATTAAATAAATCTTTTTAAAAAAAAGCAAGATGAAGATTTATATTAAACAAATATTTGTATGTTCATAATTACATTTTTGTTAACAAAATAAGATCATCCACACAGTAGTGGGCTTCTATAGGATAGAATATTTCTAGGACGAAATAAGAAAACGTTGTAGCTCTGGTGAAAATTTGAGGACTACATGCATCTTTGTTCCTTACCCACATAACGCCTTTTGTTTCTGTTTCTGTTTGGTTTTTTTCAATATATAGTCATTGAATTTTGTGCATTTCATATAATACATCTTAATAATATTTAGACCCCCCTCCCCAATGTACAGCCCCCCATAGCCTGCCCACTGGATTTCATGCATTCTGTCATGTATGTTAAGGCATACTGAGTCAAGTTTGTGTCCTCACCTGTCCCTCAGTATGAGTTCATCCACTGGAGCCTGTTCAGCCTTTCTAGCATGACTCCCTTAAAAAAGATCAACTCTCCCTCTCCCAGCAGTGATCAGCTGCAAAAAGTTCCTTGGCTAAGGTTGGGACCACCAGCCCATTTCCCCAGTTCTATGCTGGGTTTTTGTCTAATGGAGTCTGCATGGGTCTTGTGCATGCTGTCACCATTGCTGTAAGTCCATATGAGAAGTTCCCAGAAGTTTGGAAGACTGTTTTTTTATGTTCATGCACTCCCTATGGTTCTTACAATCCTCTGCCCCCACTTCCACAGTTGTCCCTCAGTCTTAGGTGGGTGAGGTTTAATATAGGAGTCCCATCCAGGGACACACACTCTGCAGTCTCTCATTTTCTACACTTTGGCCAGTCGTGGCCTCCTGTGTTCATCACCCTCTGTTGCATGAGGAAGCTTCACTGGTGTGAGTTCATAGATGTATTAGTGTTCCCTCTACCCCCTGTTCCACTATGTTTTGTGACCCTTAGGTGTAGTAGTTCCATTGTAGATGTGTCACTTAGGGTGGGCATCTCACAGACACTTATTCTCTGTGTGTGGCCAGTTATGGATCTCTGTAATAGTCTCCATCTGTTGCAAAAAGAAGCTTTTTGATGAGTGGTATATGGATACTTGTCTGAAATATAAGGATCAATATTTAGCATACAGTAAGAAATTACATTTGTCTAGGAATGTGACAGATGTAGGGTTTTCCCTAGGGTCTGTGACCTCTCCAGCCATGTGTATTTGGCTGTGTTTACAGTGCCACACAGGAGTTCTGTTCTAGTTTCTCAATTGCTGTGACAAAACACTCTGACC